AATTGATTAGAACTTTTAATACAGAAAAAAACGAAAGTACTTTAAAATGACCAAGAAACTCACTATCCAGATAACCGCTGTTGTTTTTTTTTAATATATGTCAGAAAACTCAAGAAGAAATAGACTTGATATTTATTATATTTATTATATATTATATATTATTTATTATATATCATATATTATAATTATAATAATATAATTATATTTATAATTATATAAATATAATTATATAATATATAATATGTTATAATAATATAATTATATGATAAATATAACATATAATTATGAATTATAATAATAAATTATAATATTTATTATATATTATGTTATTTATTATATATTATAAATATTTATTATAAATATCAAGTGAAAAATTCCCCTCCTCACCTTTCACTACTCCTTCTCCCTAAAAGTAATCACTATGATCTGTCTTTGTATGCACTTCTTGAATGTTTCTTAAATGCCTATAAAAAGTAGAAAGCCCCTCCAAAGCTGCTCCTTACTTCCTGTGACATTTAATTTTGGACAACTAATTTCTGTTGCTTCCTTGGTAAAATACGGTTAATATCTACTTTAAAGAGCTGTTGTACAGATGAAGTGTTTACATTTGATAAGCACTTGGAAGAGTAATTGGCATATTGTAAGCATTATGTGTCTGTTGACGGGTATACCAGTATATTCATACAATTTATACAAATGTTTACACATTTCTGTATTAATGCTTCTATAATTAATGCTATATCTTGGAGTTCTTTCTACCTCATTCCTCTCTATCAATGTGTAGTGTCCATTTTTTTTTTAAAACATATTAAACATTTGGTTCCTCTTATTTTTGCAGTATTACAGTGAAGGTGTCTTTGCACACTTATAGGAATAATTTCTAGAGGATAGGGGAGTTTAGAGGTAGGGTATATTTTATTTTGAATTTTGATATGTATTGCTACTTTACCACCATAGCCAGCTATTTTTTTCCATGGTAATTCTGTCTCAAATTGGTACCCACTTTATACTTTAAAGTTTGGATCAAGTGTTTAGGAACAAGAAAAAGTTGGTTGTGAGTTTGCAAGAGTATAAAATTCCTTACCAATCTGCCTATAGAAAGGAAATGCTAGTCCTCATTGGTAGATCACACTATTGCAATTTCTCCAAAGCAGGTGAGATCACAGTATTTTGAGTTCTGTCATTTGGGAAGGCACATTTGAAGTAGCTCAGCCCTAGGAGGAAGTTACGTAATAGTTGAGGTGCTTGCTGCTGCATTTTAAGTCTTGGCCTGTCCCTAAAGAAATAAGTGCTTTGGAGCGACCCCCTTATAGCCCCATATCTTTCAAATTGTTTTCTTTCCTTTGTTAATATTTGATCCAACATGTTAAGAAAACTTGTTATCAGCACAGTTTAATAGTTACTGTGCTACTGTGAGGGATAATTAGAGGTTTTGAAGGAATGCTCATCTGGGTTTATGAGAACACAGCTAAAATGGCTGTGTCGTCCGACCAGAAGCTAGAAAATTGAGAGTTGGTCTAGTGACTAGAAAGCAGTCATTTCTTCCTCCCTTTCTATTCATGAGAAATAGGACTTTCATATCTATTCCATTGAAAGGAATTCTTGAAACTTATTTAGTGTGTAAGTGATTTATAGTTCTTCTAAGTATATATTGACATGTAAGACAGAAAAGGGTCTAAATAAATACCAGTTTGTGGGTATTTGCTTAGCATCAAGTGTATCATAACTAAAGTTAAAGTGACTTTGAAAAGTAAACATTTTATAAGTGTAATTACAGTATAGCATATGACTAAATCCAGCAGGAAATCATCCTACAAACCTAAAATCAGGTGGAAAACCACTTTCCTCGGTACTGAAGTTATGTATTTTGGTTTAAAAACTCTTGCCTCAGAATGAATAAAAAAACTAATAATGTCAACTAAGGAATGATGTTAATAACATCAACAAAATAGTTTCTAAACCAGCTTTACTGCTTTTTATAGGGCTTACCAGACTTCAGAGGATTATTAGTGAAGTAGTATTCACATTGCTTATAGAGAACTGCAAGCATGATAAATATATATCTAGTCAATGTATATAGTAAACAAGACATGTTGACTTAGGTGTGTTGGCCCATTTTTATATGAAAGGGAACATGCCATACATACTGCTCTTCACATTGCTTGTTCAACAAGTTGCTCGTGTTTGTGCTATATCAATATGTAGAATTTTCTTCTTTTAATAGTTTCATAGTATTCCATCATTTCCTTCTACCAACATTTAATTAGTCCACTATTAATGGATTATTTGGGTTATTTCCAATCTGTTGCTATTATAACATTTCAATAAATAATTTAACATATATTGCATCTACAAATATATCTAGGGTTGTTGGTTCAAAAATTAATGTTATTTGAAATTTTAATATTGTTAAAAATGCCCTTTAGGTTTTTCAGTTGATGGTTTTTAAGTATCAAAAGAGCAACTCAGATCTACTTCCCTGATCACCCCAAGCCAACAGGAGCTCTCCTAACCTCTTCTACTGTGTGTAGTATTCATTTAACACTTATTTAATACAGCCTTTCTATGTATGTGTTACTTCTCTAACTAGAGGGAAAGAGCGGGGTCTTTATTTCATGTCCTCAGAACTTAACTCTAGTACCTTACGTACACATCTGCTCTTTAATCAGATATTCATGTCTTCTATACAAGTAGGGGAATCACTGCTGATAACCTGAAAATAAGATAATTGTCTGATAGCCCTTGTTAGCACTTTATTGAGAAAAAGTTCTTTGGAAGACAGGTGGTACCAAGCAGGTACCAAAGAGCCATTTAAAAATGTTTATTGCACATCAGAAATGTAAAAACATGGGGTGAGAGACTGGGGAGGAAAGAGAATAATCAAGATACAGCGCTGACCCTCATGAATCTTTCCCCCAAGTTTATTTGACCTGAACATTTTTCAAAAATTTGTAATTGCGGAATTATGTGCATATGTGAAAGTATATTTATCTTACGTGTATGGCTAGAATGATCACAAAATGTATTTAAAAATATTTTGTTAGTCTCTAAATTTTAGAACTCTCTTAAAAAACCAACTCTGGCGATAGCTTCTAACTTTGGGTGCTCACTGCCCTGTTTCCCTTAGATGGTGTTTGCTATACCTAGAATGCATTTATACTTAAAATTTATGGCCCACAATGAAGTGGGAGGCCCAGAGGGTCTCTGAGAAGATGATGGGTTGTAATGGAGTTTTGAAAGAGCAGAGATAAAACCTGCAAAGCAATTGTTGAGTACATCCATGCTACCAGACTGCTGATGCATAGATGTTCGCTTTCATGTTGAAGTTAAAAATGTTTTTAATTTTAAAAGTCAGTTAATTTTCTGCATTTCAATCTCCCAAGGACTGTGTTTTGTCTTAGTCTCTTCAAACAATATTGTTGATGTTTAAAAACTGAAAATGTTAATTTGTTTTTTAGAATGTCAAATTAAAACCTACTAATCTGTAGCTGGAGAAGCAGGTCAAAGCCATGACTCTTGAGAGTAAAACCCAGATGTTTATCTGATGTCACAGAATGGATTTTAACACTGGAGCCATCTGCCTTCCAAAGTTTATCTCCGCTGCACCTGCACTTTAAAATTCTTCTGCCTACACATATAGGAACTATTGTTTAAGATTTTTGTTGTTGCTTCAGCAGACAAGCTCTCCAGGAATTATTCATACTTTAAACTTTACTTTTGAAAAAAAAATATGCATATACATGGTAAAAAACAAATAAACACTACAAAACCAGAAAGAAAATTAAATCTTTTCTCCACCTCCATTTGGAATTCCTCTCACCAGAACAACCACTATTACCAGTTCCTCAGACATCTTTCCAAAGATATTTTCTGAATACACAGACACATTCATGAGCGATGTGCACACACATACACACAAATCCTCTCTTTTCTACACAAATGGTGGCAAACTATGTACTTCTCTGTACCTGTTTGTTGTCATTTTACTTAATAACTACAGAGATTTTTTTGTGTCCATGTATTCACCCACACCATTAGCTGCATAATATATTAATATCTCATAACTTAAACAGTCTCTGGCTGGTGAATGTTGAGGTTTGCAATCTTTCTACCACAAAGATACTGTTAAGTAGGAACATCCCTTTCCATTTATCTTTGTGCATGGGTGCGTGTATGTCTATAGGATGAGTGTTTAAAATTGGAACTATTTGGATATAGCACTGACCCTCATGAATCTTTCCCCCAAGTTTATTTGACCTGAACATTTTTCAAAAATTTGTAATTGCTACAGTTACCCTGTAACTTAACACCAGTTTGCATTCTGTCAGTGTATCTAAGTGTGGTTTCGTAACACCTTTGCCAATGCCTTTATTATTGGGTCTTTTGATCTATGTCAGTCTGATAGATGAAAATGATACTTTATTGTGGTTTTAGTTTTCCTTTTTATTATTATGATCCAGCAAAAACTCTAGCTTAGGGCTGCCAGGCAGATTGTTTGGGACCCCACTTGTTACTCATTATCATCTGCGCTACTTTTCAGAAATTCTTTACCTTGGGGCAACTATTCCTTTGGCCAGTACCTCACACTAACAAGAGATGTGAACATTTTGATTTTCTCCTGACTCTCGACAGGTTTTTAAAAATCTGTTCCCCAAGAATTGCTGATTTCCTTGGTAGAATCTGAAAATAAACTACCATTGAGATGACATTCTGTGAGGTTTGGACTTTTCACAGGCCCTCCCTACAACAGGTCCAGATATACAGATAAGAGTGTGTATGTATATATAGTTGTATAGATATAGGTATACATTTCAGTAAAACCTATATAACAAAATTTAACATTCTAACTGTGTTAAAGCATATAGTTCAGTGACCTCAGTACATGTAAATTCCACTGATTTCTTTTGGAAGAAGAATAATCAGTAGTCATACTGATTATTTTCCCTTGAGAGTTACCAGGAGCAAGTCATTTTAATTTACATTGTTGTTCTTACCTACAGATGAAGTCATACGCAAACGTCTCCTGATTGATGGAGATGGCGCTGGAGATGATCGGAGAATTAACCTGCTAGTGAAAAGTTTCATTAAATGGTGTAATTCTGGATCACAGGAAGAGGGGTATTTCATTTCACTGTTGTTTCTGAGCCAATATCTTGATGTGACCTTAGACCATATGCTGCAGTTCTATAACTATTTCAAATTTACAGTTATCTTAAACGTTCAGTGTTACTAACTCCTGGTTAATTAAAAGTAGATATTTCTGGCTTTTAGTTCTTGTCAGAGGCCTGCTTTATGTTTATTAATATGTGTAGAAGGCAAAGTGGTAAGAAGAAATAAAGATTAAATTCAGACTCACTAATTTGTTCACTTTGAGCAGATAAATGTCTAGCAAGATAAAATAAATGAAATTTTTACTTTAATGAGCTAATAAAATGTTGCTTCAAGGTCTATTAACACATCACATTTTTTACTTAGAAAATTTTTCATTATTTGAATTAACATTTCATATGGAATAAAATATGAGCACAGAAATTTGAAGGTAAAAATCAAAATATTTTTAAAGTGTTAAATAAATGTCAAACATAGTTGTTTAAGTTTATAAGAACAGCAGTCCTATCCCTCATAACTAACACCACTTACAAATTCAAGTACATCACATTTGGAAAAAGAAAACTTGAAAGCCACAGTGTTCTAAATTATTTTTTGTTGTAAATAAAACAAGTGGTTCTCTTAGAACTTGGTGTAATTTAGTTAGCTGTCTTGTACTTTAATAATTCAACCTTGGTAATCTAAAAAATTCCTTATTCTGTTTGTCTTTCTCATCAGATATAGCCAGTACCAACGCATGCTGAGTACACTGTCCCAGTGTGAATTTTCAATGGGCAAAACATTGTTGGTTTATGATATGAATCTCAGAGAAATGGAAAATTACGAAAAAATTTACAAAGAAATAGGTAAAACCAGAAACAAACAGATGTTTTCTATCTGTAAATTTTTATGATTTAAAAGAAAACACTATGCTAATAATTTTACTTTGCTTAGTGGTAAAATAATAACACAACAGTAATAGAAATAATACAATAAATATTGACTACAGAAATATATTCAAGTATGATACAGTACTTCAGCCTACAGATACTTTTTTGAATGACATCATCTATTCTGTTAGTAATGGTACTTAATTTAAGAGCTTTGAAATTGAAATAGAGACTTTGCATGGTATGATTGTCTTTAAAACACCTTTTTATACAGAATGTAGCATTGCTGGAGCACATGAAAAAATTGCTGAATGCAAAAAGCAAATTCTTCAAGCAAAACGTATACGAAAAAATCGCCAAGGTAATGGTTTTATGATTTAGTGTGCAAGTACTTTATTACTGACTAGTATTTTCATGTAGTTTTTAATATTATGAGGTTAAACTCTGTAGCTAGAATCAACCTGAATTACAAAAGACAATTAGAAGCCGAACTAATTCTTTAAAACTCTACTATTTAAAATAGAAAATAAAGGTCATACTGAAAAAATTTCCTTTACTGGATTGTATTGATTTTCCAAGTATTTAAGTTTTCGTTGTTTTACTGTCTCCAGAACCCTTTGTTGAAATAATGCTATAGTTGATTAGCAAAGGCAATTTGAACAGATTGACTAGATTTAGGGTATTTGTTTTAGTGTTTCATTTTAATAAAATGAAAAAATGAATGTAATGTAACCCCCCCATTAAGTTTTTTCTACTAAATAAAAAGCAAGCAAACATTTACAGCTGCATAAATACCCAATAAATCTTTGTTCTGATCTCTTGTTTTTATACTAGGGTTTATCCTTATTGCGAACCATAAAAACTATTTTGTAATGATTTTTAATGGCAGAGGTATGGATCCTACATATAGTAAAAGTTAAGAGAGAGTTTAAAAACATAATGTACAAATCATAATTGTGACATATATGAAAAACTAAGTGGAAATAAAAAATATCAGTGTTTATTTGGGGTTTGTAGAATTTTATGGTTTCAGTTCTTTTTACTTTGAGCATAGTTTCTATTTTAATCCAAATAATTGGTGATGAATCAATAAAAATCTTATCAAATGAATAAGCTGAATTCAAAACCATGGATTTTACTTTTAAATAGCTAATTTAATTAGGATGACCTTTAATTCCTAATTTTTAAAAGTTGGTTTTAAATTCAGTCTAAAATGCTTATGATCAAGTTTTGGTAGGCAATGTAGAGTAAGCTATGTGCCAGCTTACTAAAAAGTTAGTTCAATTCTAAAATGCTTGTTAAACATTTTATAGTGTTTTTGTTGATTAATGAGGCTTTTAAATGAATGCTGCCATTTATCATTTCATAAGAAAAGCTAGCAGAGGATATATGTATGACATATTGGAGGTTGCAGTGGAACAGAAAAAAGGTTGAGTTTTATGGCATTTCTTTTTGTAAACTTTTTACCTTTAGAATGAGAAGTTTAATTTGCTGTTGTCTAAGATCTGAAATTAATGGTATGATATATTTACCTTGCTGATCTTTTTTCCTTTTTTCTGGGCAAATAGTGAATAAGATACTCTTCATAATAGGTCACCTTCATGATCAATGACTTAAATTCATTTAAGGATAGGTAAGTGGGAGGGAAAGAAGTCAGAGATGAAGTCCCTGTTTAGAAACTTTTGAAGTCTGTATCATTACAGTTATAGTTGAGTCAAATGGAACTGAAAATACTGTTTCAATGTTTCTATTTCTTATGCAACTGGAAAGTGATTAGAGAAGGCATGATATTTTGATAATCTAGGTACAAAAACCTGAATTTGGCATATATATTTTTGTCTTTCAGAGTATGATGCTTTGGCAAAAGTGATCCAGCATCATCCAGATAGGCATGAGACATTAAAGTAAGTTTAAGCTTTACTTTGAAAGGAGCTGATCTCTACATAAATACATACTAGCATATACATTCCATGTTTATAAGAATACCTATGTTTTAAAAGGAGTCAGATCTTCAATATTACATATTCTAGTACTGATTGATTAGATTTTTCTTCCTTCTACCTTACTGCCTACAGTTCTAATATAAATGCATATATAAATAGGAAGTGGGTAAACAGAATATGTTTGCTTATATAGTAGTACATAAAAACAATAAGCTAAATATATATACTTTAAAACACAGATCTCAAAACCTTACTCAAGGGGGGAAAAGGCATATAGTAAACTTTAAATTATTCCTCAGTTTCTGAAATACATACAGAACTGCCATTTATAAAATGGTTATATTATATCTTAGTATACTCTGATATATTTATATTAATACTGTATATTCAGAAATAAATATATACATTAAAAAGTAATACAGTGATTGAGAGGAGGAAAAAGAAGTCTGGGATAGAGAACTGGAAGTAAGGTTCAAAAATCGTTAAAGTTAGCGTGCAATTGTTTTCTTTACTAATAAAAAGGAAATACATCAAAATGTTAAAATTTATCAGTTTATCAGTGTGGGTGTTCATTTTTCTGTTAACCTATATTGCATTTTAAAAATTATTTAATAAAAATGTAATTTTAATGAAAATAACTGCATAATTAGGAATCAAGAAATCATACTTAGTTTTAAAAGTCTTACCTTTAATGGAGGGTAATGATGCCTTATCTTTTTTTTTTTAATGCTATTTGATGACTAAAAAGTTAGGTATTAATTGTGAATTGCTGTCCAAAGTAGGAAAGCATAATCTTCTTTTTTTTTTTTTTCCCCAGGGAACTAGAAGCTCTGGGAAAAGAATTAGAACATCTCTCGCATATTAAAGAAAGTGTTGAAGATAAGGTATTAGCATGTATTCTTAGCTTTTGTGATATATACATATTTAAGTATCAATATGTATTAATTTTCTTCTTGTTAACACAGCTGGAATTGAGACGGAAACAATTTCATGTTCTTCTTAGTACAATCCATGAACTGCAACAGACATTGGAAAGTAAGTAGAAATAATTTCATTGAATGTTTTCAAAGATTTTTAAATGATCCAGGGACAAACCTTCTAAAATAACAAAGAGAGAGTACACCTTTCCTCTCAGCATAGAGGATAACATTAAAAGGTACTGACTGTTCAACTCTTTTTTTTAATTGAAGAACCATTTTTTTATCTCCTTGCTAGTGTTTGACAGTATAGGATTTTCCGTCCTCAGGTATAATCTCATCATAGTCCTTCACCATAGTCTTTTGTTCTCCCCTTCCCTATCCTCACTCTCACCCTTCCTTCTCTGAAAGCTGCAAATCTATGGTTAGCTTTCAAGGTTCTTTTTAAATTTACCTTCATCTGACCCTTTGTTTTATCTATGTTCCACATATGAGTGACACCATCTGGTATTTATCTTCCTTCTTCTGATTTACTTCTCATATCACAATCGCATCAATTTCCATGTTGCTGCAAATGGCATGAGTATCTTTTTAATCACTGAGTAGTATTCCATCATATGTGTATATGTACATGATAGAATATTGATCTACTCCTCTATTAGAAAATATATAAAAACGCTAACTCAAAAGGAAATCTTTACTCCTGTGTTTATTATAGCACTAGTTACAAAACCCGATAAGGATAAAACCTAAGTGCTCATAGATTATAATTTTGATGTCTTTACTTTAAATACAATGGTTAATAAAGAACAGAAGTGATACTTTATACACTCACACATTTAAGCATTTTGACCAAGGTGTCGGTTATTTCTCTATTGCAGATGATGAAAAGCTCTCAGAGGTAGAAGAAACTCAAGAAACAAGCATGGAAACAGATTCTAAGCCATAAACAGGCTAGTCATTCACCATTCCCAAGAATATTGAAGTATCAATTCTTAGTGTGCTTGGAATTTGTTGTGCTGTTGAGATAAAGTCTTGGCAGTAAACTACTTTGCTTTTAAATATTAATGCACAGTTCTTTCATATTTCCTTACATAAAGAAAAATGACTTCAGTATAGATTTGTTGTTATTTAAATGCCTTTTTTATTCTTAAACTTAAAAGATTGGAAGCAACATCCAAAATGTTCAATAAATGTTCAGTGTTTTCAAGTCAGATATGTTTGTGCTTATTAGTAGTCCAGGTAGCTTTTATTTGATAACATTGACTTGCTTACAGAATAAGTTGAAAATTGTGACGTAGCAGTTTCTGGACATTACTGCCACTTTTTGAAAATGAAGTCCATGAACAGCCTTCAGAAAAACTATAAACTTGAGAAATAATGTGCAAACTACCAGTGGAGTATATGCATTGTGAGAGAAGCTCCATGATATTTTAATAATTACTGGGGTAGAGGTAATTAACCAGGTATAAAGTAAATCAAATTGGAGCAAAGTCACTGTTAATTGTAAAGGATTTCATAATCCTTTTAAAAATTAAGCTGTAATGAAATCTTATTATTTCAGCTATGATTTTAAGTATTGAACTATATGTTCAATACTTGTTAGATTCTATTCTTACCCATTTACTTTAGTTCAGAAACATGACACATTCCATGAATCAGATTTTAATAATTATACATTTTTATGATTTTAATAATAATTGTTATCTTTAAAATTGAAAGTTTAAAGTTAGCTTAGTGGTTGTCATAGTAAAAGTGTCATAACACCTTTAAGTGCCTCCTCTAATCTCACCTGGCAAATCATGGAAGCAATTTCCCAAATAGCTTGCCCTAGTAAATATTTCTATTGTCCATTATTAGTGAGAATTGTAAAACAAAAGTTTGCTTGGATTGACTTAGAATTAAAAATTGAGTTTTTTCAAAAGGATTTAAGGACTATTGGGCAGATTATTCTAAAATATATTCACTAAATTCATTAGCGAGATTTATTAGAATCTCTATAACTTAACGCAATCAGGAACAGAAAGAATCAAAAGCAGCAGCAGGTACATGGGAAACATACGTTTTTCAACTTATACTTCCTCATGGTTCTCTTGGATATCCTCTGGAACTGCTTAGAAGACTGAAGAATTTCATCTCCCAGAAACTCACACTGTTGAAGTTCAGCATGTCTTTGGGCCAAGAGCTTCATGGATTTATCAGTCACTGTTTCTATGAGGTCATCTACCTATAACATAGAGACATGAAGCCATGTGTTGGACAGTTTTGTCAGAAGTAAAAGAATGGGTGTTTTCCCTGAGATAAGAGTTCAGAAATTGGTGGACATTTTGCAAGTCCCAAAGTATTATTCTGATTCAAGTCATAGCAAACAGAGCTTGAAAACATACATTTACCACCCAGTGGTAAAGAGGTCTTATTACTTCTTAAAAAAAACCTATGTGCATGCTTTGGTTTTAATTGAATGCACTTAATATTTATTAGGCACACCGCATTATCATAGCAATCCTCTCAGAATACTCCCCACAATATTATATCTTAATGCTAATCATCAGCTTCTCCCATATCTTAGTGGAACTATGCATTCAGTACTGTTCTGACACTTTTGAAACACAAAAGTAAAAGCTTTTGTCCACTACCTGCATTTGCAGCTTTCCTACTGTCAAATCTGATTTTCGGAGAATGTTTTCCATGCTATGTTTCTTTTTTTTAAGTGCTGGAAAGTGTGGTCTCTTTTTTGATGAATATGGAACCTATCATAAAAATGCAAAATACACTGGATTAGGAAGCACCAACATTATTTCTGGGATGGGACTTCAGTAAGAATTCTCACCCTTGGGACATTCTCTTATGAAAACATTTGCCACATAACGTTGGGTTGGAGAACGTATTCATATTATTCTCCACGCTGCATGCATTTCCTTTGTGCCCAGAGCTCTCTTTGAAGAGATCTATGGGGTGCAGAGAAATGAGATTGTCTGGTTCTGAAAGAATATACAGTGTCAGGAAAAAAGCAGGTCATTCGTAAAAGGAAGAAGAAATTGCCTTTGCAACTGCTGAGCACAGCGAGAGAGTGGGGCTGTTGTGGACCAGTGCCCCAGAAAGCTCATTATCACTGGATCCAGTTGTTAATTTGGTCTCTTTTCTGCAGGTTTCCTTATTTTCATAGCAGGCATGTCTCCAAACATAAAAAGAAAGCTCTGGGTTCTTTTCTCTCCATGCCTGATAACTTTTCTATCATTCTTGACTTGCTGGCTACAAGTGCGTTTCCTAATAGTATTGCTACTGGAAATCATTCCTGGGCTATGGTTCCAGGCTAACGTATCCTTTTAAGTCATACTGGCTTCGCTCTTTCCCTTGTGCTTAATAATTAGCATTAGGACTATGGGGAGACCTATGCAAAGTAGGATGTGGGACCATCTCTTGCGTTACCCTCTGTCTGATAGCATTTACAGCTGAGACTGTTCAACAACTGCTCTGCCCTACCAGCTTGTCCAGGTTCTGAGGTCACACATAGAATCTTCCCTAATCCATCCAAAGCTGGATACCTCTTTTGTTTGCTCTTCTATAAAACTCAGTGCTTTTACCCCAGAAGCACTTACCACCTAGATAATTTCTAAGTTATTTCTGTACTTGTTGAATGCAGCCATTAAAAAGTCAAAAGCCTAAAGAATGAGGCAGGATTTGTGAAACAGGACCAGTTGGGGCAGGTGTGAATTGGTGGCAAGTGCCTCCTGCAAAGGGGACAGCGACTGCTTAGCTGTCCTGAATATTCAAGGGTCACTGCTTTCACGTCTTCAGGAAGACTTACTTGATATTTTCTTTTTTTTTTTTTTTTAAGATTTATTTATTTATGCTTATAGAACTGGAGTACATGCCAGAGGTGTGATGGGTGAGAAAATTCACCAGAGACAGAATGGGGAGCAGAATAGGAAGATGTACTGAAATAACACTGCTGAGAGGAGCAGCAGGCAGGCCAAGAGAGATCTGCCAGCCGTGTGAGTCAGCTCCCTGGCAAGGGATTAAACTCGTGCTGCAGTGGCTTTGGAGAGCTTCATGATACGATGCTTTAACCTGTTGCACTACCAGGGCGAGCCCGATATTTTCTCTTTTTTAAAGAGAGGCAATTAAGGCAACTACATTTTTGAGAAAAACCTTTGATAGCCAGACGTTTGATTTAATGTCTCAACTGATATTCATAATTTTTTTTACTTTTTAAAATAATATGTTTATTTTTACATCATTTTGTGCCTTTTTCCATCTCAGTTGTAATCCCCTTGGGCTTCCCATCACCAGTTCACCCATGTGCCATCACCATAGTCCAGTGCATCCCGCCCCCCCATTTTTGATCCCATTCCCCATAGACATTCATAATTTTAATGTAGACAAATGTTTTACCTTTAACTTTATGGTCAGTGATGCTTGCTTCCTAAGAAGTCTTAGTCTATTCTGAAATCAAGAAAGTATTTTGTCCTCCAGAAGTTGTAAAGTTTTACCTATACCACATGGATCTATATGCAAAGAGTTAATTTTTTGTGTATGCTATGACATAGGGATCAAGTATTATCTTTTTCCCAAGCAGATGTTCACTTGTCCCAGCAACGTTTATTCAAAAGATTATTCTTACCCCACTGTTCTGCAGTGCCATGTTTTAATTCTGTCTCTATTAAACTTAAGTTCACAAGACAGGACTGTGTCTATTGGATCATCTGGAAAGCACCCAAATCTGAAAATTAGCCAGCACATAATAAAAATGTGATAAATATAGCACCTGAGAGGCAAAATTTAAAAAATATGGGTGCTCTCTAAAAGTAATGCTGCAGAACAAACTGTTCAATGTTCTTTTTCTGTGCTGTCCAAAGCAACTTCTAAGTACATGTGGTTACTATGCGCCTGAAAGGTAGGTAGTGCAACTGAGACTTAACGATTTTGTTGAATTTTTATTACCTAAATGGTCAGATGTGGTTATTGGGCACTATGATGAAATGTATCATTAGTACTCGGCTTAATCATTTTAGAGTATAGAATGTACAACTGTATCTCCCTGGGTTTGAACCCTGGCCCTGATGCCTGGGCAAATCATTCCACCTCTCGGTGAAATACAGTATTGCTAGCTACCTTATAAGGCTATTGAGAGGATTCTCTCAGTTGGAATTTTTAAAGCAATGAAAAGGCCCTGTAACATAGCTTTAATAAGCACTTACTCACCTGATAGTATTCATTCAGGGTTCTATTTTCAAAACTAGTCTACAAACTTTGGGGAGTCCGGAACTGTCTAGTGCTGCGCTCTCTACACATGTGGTGTAGTATTATATAGACTTATGTGGCATTAAATACATTAATTGCAATTAAAAGGAAAAAAATCAACTCTTTTCAGTTGCACTGGTTACATTTCAAAGTCTCAAAAGCCACATGTGACTATTGACTACCATATTGGACAATGCACACACACCTCCTCACAGAAAATTCCTCTGGGTGGTAGTGGCCTCGTGAATTCCTCTCCGCACAGCATGCTTGGCAGACCTGATACTGACATACTAACATTTGATATTTGACCCCTTGACAAAGTCAAATTAAAGCTGAAAATTACACTGCTACCCAGATTGTAGTTAAAACTGAGCAATGTGAACTTAGAAGTGGAGGAATCAGACCAAGAAAACCAACTTTCTATGCCCTCAGTTCTTAGAGAGGAGACACTAACAACAGATTGAAAAGCTTTATTCTGAGGAGCTTGTGGTAGGAGGGAACTTGGATTTTACAACATTCATAAACGTTGACTTACAGTAAATCTTGAGGTGAGTTTACTTTAACATCTTACTTTTCGAAGTCCTGAAGGAAGAGATGTCACAGATAACCGCTTGGTGGTTCTCCTAGCCCTGAGGAGTGTATTTCCTCCAGTTATCTCCTCTGTCTCTGCTTCTACAACATCTAGTTGTATAGTTGCTTAGAAATAGGAGAAAAAAGCAATCTATGAGAATCATCATATATATTCTCTTTAAAGAAAGTTGAAAATAAAAAAAGAATTTGTTTTCCCAAATCACACTTAATCCTTCATATGTTCACCATTTGGAAGTGTCAGAAGTGACAGACCAGTCTTGAATAGGTCTTTTGAGATTTCAGTTTGCCCTCCTTTGGTTCTTCCTTTAACAATGATGGAATGAGAAACAGTACTCATCTAATAGGCAAGGTGATTCTTTCCATATTTGTTGTTAAATGAAGCCAAGTTTACATTTACTCTCAAATGTGACTCCAGATTCAATCATTCACACATCTTGATAGCTTTTCTTGTATTTTAGGAGCCATGCAAATCTTAATATTTTCCTTTATGTCAATTCAATTCTTATCGCACAATAGATTAAGGAAACTTGAAAACGCTATTGCAAATCAAAAACCAATACTATACATAGGTATTTATATGGCAAAACCAAAATCATATTATTGCCTGCAGAAGGTACTAAACTTGAGGTTCCCTTATGTTTACTTAAAAGGACAGGAAATGTGATCTCTTCCTTGAAGTAGTCAAAGGGATCAGCAGTGGTATTGAGAAAAAAGGTGTTTGCACTTTGTGTTTTGGCATCTGTACAACCCCTGAATCATATTATCCTGCTTGTGGCCTGTTAAGATTATCTTTTCTCCTAAACTCAGTAAATTGGGGTTCATCTTCAAAACAGGTATTCAGCTTGGAACCCTTTCTTCTCTGCCACCCTCAGCTGTCCAGCTCTTCCCCAAATCCTACATTTTCTCCCCAACCCCACAGCCTCAACTAATCCAAGCTAGTGCCACTCCTGCCTGAATGAATGTAGGGCCTGTTTGTTGTTCTACATGCATTTGCTTCTGCCCTTCTCCAACCTGGTCTCTACTGCTGGAACTCTACTTTTAAATTGAAAAAAAGATTATATACACCTCCAGTTTGAAAGTATGCAATGGTTTTATATCACTCTTAGAGAAAGTTCAAAATTCTTGTTTTTAAAGATTTTTTATACATACAAGAATTGGGGTACAGGCCAGAGGTGTTGGGGGGACAGTGAGAAGATTCACCAGAGACAGTGGGGTAGAGGTCAGAAAAGACAGACCCACTGAAATCCACTGTTGAGGGGAGCAGCCAGCGGGACAGGAGAGCTCTGCCACACCCTGTGGGTCATCTTCCCGGCTGGGAATTGAGTTTGAGTTGCAGTGGCTACAGACAGCTTCACAGTGCTGTGCTTTAACCTGCTGTGCCACAGGGAGGACCCGAAAGTTAAAACCTAGCACAGTTTGCAGTATCCTTAACAATCTTACTCACTAGCCTCTCCTTGCCCTTTTCTGTTCCAACCCCTTTGGCTTCCTTTTATTTCTAATTATGCCCAATATTCTCATTCATGGAACTATTTGCCCCATTTTTTTCCTTTTTGACCCTAGTTGCTCTTCAGATCTCAAGACAGGGAGGACTTTCCTGAGCCCCACTCCCAAAAGATAAAATACCTCATGATGTGTTTCAGTAGTGCCCTCTGCACCCACTTTGACATAGATGCAATTATCTGCATGACGCTCGCTGAAACATCACTCTGCTTCAATTCCATGGGTACAGGGACTGCATCTGTTCTGTTTGCTACTCTATATTCTTAATATTGTGACAAGCAAGCCTGTCCCTCCCTGGTGGCGCAGCGGGTTAAAGCACTGCACTAAGAAGCTTAAACCAGTTCTGCATGAGTTCGATCCCCGCCTGCCCCAGAGGAGATCCACATGGTGTGGCAGACTTCTCCTGACCCGCCCGCTGCTCCCCTCAGCAGTGTACTTCGTCGATCTGCCTGTTCTGCTCCCTACTCTGTCCCTGGTGAATCCTCTCACCCTCTGCATCTCTGGCCTGTACCCCAGTTCTGTATGAATAAATAAATCTTAAAAAAAAAATATTGTGACAGGCCTACAATAAGCACTTACCAAATATTTCTTTAAAAACATGAGAGTCAGTGGGGAAGAGTGCACTGTCTTTGGGCCGCTTAGTCAGGGTCATGACATTTGAGCTGCAGCCTCGGGGAAGAGTGCACGGATGGGCACGTGTCCGAAAGAGTTGATGGTGAGAATTTTTTTAATTCCCACAATCACATAAAAATTCAACTCATGGATTAGGGGGAGGCATTTAATCCTTTGTTTCCTGCTGGGATGTCCAGCTCCAACAGCATAGAAGCCTGTCCTCTTTGTTATTTTCAACAGAAATAGACAGGTCAGTTCATACCAGGTGATTGCTAGTTGCTTGGATGCTTGAGTTAGTGACTTTTCCAGGAGACTGGGCTTACTGGAAAGAGCAACCAGCTGGAAGCCATCAGTTTTAGTTTTATGTTTTTAGGAAGACACATACATACCAGGTTTGTAACCTTGTCACTGTGTGAAATACGTAATTATGTATGGATTCCTTACATGTGCATAAGGGTTATATATTTTTCCTGATGCTGTGCTTTAAAGGACATTGAAAAACTACAGAAGATGTTTAGGGTGGTGAAGCTCCTGTATGAACCTGCAGTAGTGGACATATTACATGATGCATTTTTGAAGCCCGCAGAACTGTACAGGGAACGAGTACATGCCAATGTAAACTATGGACTTCAATTAGTACTTTGCCACTATTGGCTCATCAATTATAACAAATATACCACACTATAGGTGTACTTTAGATTATTACAGGTTGGATTCCAGACTGCCGCAATAAAGTGAGTCACACAGAACTTTTTGGCTTTCTGGTGCATATAAAATTAGGTAGTCTTCTAAGTGTGCAATAACCTTTTGTCTGAAAAAGCAATGTACAGCCTTAATTAAATGTGACACACAGACACTACGTGAACACAACTTTTGATAAAATGGCAGCAATAGATTTGCTGGATGCAAAGACGCCACTTGCATCCACTTGCAAAAAATGCCTTATCTGCAAAACTCAATAAAGTGAGGTGCAATAAGACAAGGTATGCCTGTACTGTAAGATGTTACTAATAAAGGAAACTGTAGGTGGGAAAGGAGAGGGGATATATGGGAATTCACTCCCTGTAACCATCGCTAAGTTTTTCCAGTAAACCTGAAGCTGCTAAAAAATAAGGTCTCCAAAACTTAAAAACCTAGGAAAGAGAATGAACATGCAAATATTCATGGTCTTTTTAGTCATGGGATACCCACGACACAGCACTGGTAACTGGAAAAAATACTTAAGGTTAACAGTTCAAATGTTGATTTTTTTCCACAAAGCACATAGGAAGTATATACAATGAAAGAAAATGTCCTTTGTGACTTACCAGTCATAAATTTTATTTATAAAATTCCCACTACACCCTCCACAGTTGGGAGCAGCTGTTTAAAAGGCTGCATCACTATGTTCTCTGCAAATAAAAATTTAAAAATCCTATTTTAGCTTTATTTACATATATATATAGTAGATACAGATATGTATATATGCAAACTATATACATGTGCATAATATTTAAACAAAAAGTGACTTGAGACTGATTAAATCACTAATCTATATTTGACAAGGAAAGATTTGGAGGGCAATCTAATTCAAAGCTTTCCAAAATGTACCTGTATCTCAGTCACCTCTTTCTAAAAGACAGACTCTCATTCAGTACACCTGAGTAGAACCTTAGACACCCCCCCCCACACACACACACACACACACGCCGGCCTCTCAAACCAGCTGCCAGGAGTTGTTATTTTTGGCTACAAGAAAATCAACCTAATTTCATTATTCCTCTTGACCTCAGCACTCAGCCCATCAACTGCATTTTAATTACCGTTCTGTGAGAGCTTTCTCATTCTTGGTCTGGTAAATAATGTCGGAGATGGAAGCTCCTTGACAATTCGAGGAAGAAGGCTCTGTGTGTTTGAAAGAAGGGTTTCCTTGTGACTGATGGAGCCTTCTCTGCTGACACATGCTGGCTTGCTTCTATGCTTGTATGAGAGCATTCTCCCCCAAACAGCCTTCACTTTCTTTATCAAATTATTTTTCTGTGTTTGCTGGCTTTCATGAAACTCCATGTCACTATCATTAGATGATTCTTCTTTGGGGATCAAGACATTTTGTTTCACTAAATTGGTAGACACAGCTCTGTGCCATCTAAAGAGGATCAAAAGAATCTGTGTTAAGGAAACTGAAAAAATTAAAAGTCAATAATTTAAATCATCACCAAAGTCCAAACTTAAATATGAACAAGTGATATCATTCCTAAAAATAAAATTGAAGGCCAAGATTCAAATCACAGAAAAATAAGCCCAAGCCACCATTTGGTATTCTGTCAACAAACTGGAATAAGATCACTGTCTCACTTAAACCTTATCCCTCCTTAATAAGTAGTTTATATTAATCTTCATTTTGCTAATGAGAAAATGGAAACACAAAGAGATCAAATTAATTGACCAAGTGCAAAATGCAGTTTTCAATCCAGGTATGGGACAGTAAAACTAGTTTATCTCAAACTGGCAATCTTATTTTAGTGACAGCTTAAGGTAGTATTTGCTGGATTTGGGAACTCCAAGGCTACAGTGATAAGAGAATATGCTAGAATACTCAATCAGAATATAGTCTTCAAGAGCCCATAAACACTGTGTTTATATAACCATTTATTTAAAAAAAAAAAACCTCAAAACTTGTCTATCAATCATTTTAGTTCTTTTAGTAAAACTAAAAATCATTTGCTAATAGTTTTCTACATATCAAGCATTTTCCAAATTCTTTCAGTTGTATTATGTAATTTATAATATATAATTTATACTAACATCACCATTTTACAAATGAGGAAATGAGTTTCATATCTCTGTTTCCCGTATATATATGTGTGTGTTCCTGCCAGTTGCCACACAGATTCTAGTGGGTCCTCTTCATGTGCAGCGATGGTCAAGTACAGTTATGATGCTAACATTCTGGGAGATGACTAATGCCAAGTGGGTCCACTATGTCTGGCAGACAGACAAAGGAGAGTCCTGGAGCCTTCAGTGGGTTTTTCCAGGCTTTAGTGCCCTTTCAGGGGACCAGGTACACAGGCGCACCAGGCAGGGAGGTTGGCACAGGCTAGGCGGGGGTGACTGGGAGACAGGCAGGCGATCGAGCCACCTGCCCCCTGCCCCTTCTCATGTGGCCTCTCTCCTGTGTGGTCTCCACACAGCCATGCTCTGCACCTGCCCCCTGAGGACAGGTTCCTCAGCAACCTCACCCTTATCCAAAAGCAAACAGGACACCACTCACCAGTTACCTGTAAGAGACTTGATGCCTCCCTTAGCATTCTTTCGGTGGCTTTCTCAATCGCTTAGGATTTCCTGACCTTGGCACACCAGCTTGTTGCCTTATCTGAGTTGGCTTTTTGATACCTCTGCTGCCTGGCTGCAGAGGACGTGGCCAGGGCTTCCTCCGCAGCCAGCCTTGGCTGCTCTCATGCCTGCCTGCCCCTTTCCTAATTCTAACCCATCCATAGGGCCATTGCCTCTCCCAGCTGTGCCCACCATGCCTCCCTGGGGGGTGAGCACCACCACCCTCTGTGGCCCAGAGCATGCTGGGCAGTGCACAGAGCTGCTTTAGGCCACCGAAGCCCACCAGCAGCCCCTGGGTTTTCATCTCAGGGGTGTGCAAATGATCCTGTTCACCCCCCAGGTACCAGTCCATCAGTTTTTTTTTTTTCATCTTTGTGTCACCACTGGGTCCCGCCCCCTCAAGCCCCACCCACATTCTCAATCTATAATATAATTAGCAAATATGATTTTGCTATAGGGCCTAGGAATAGAACTGTTGTGATTTTTGCCATGAATATATATATATATACATATATATAAAATCTCTTTCCTTCTTCAGTTTTACATATGTTGGTTGAAAGTAAATTCATTTGGCTGTGCTGCTTTCCCTTGCAGCCATTGTTACTGAAGTAGGCCTCTGCGGCCTGTTATTTTGTCTGTGGAAGTTCAGAAGTGGATACTTTGGGGCTATTGAAAACACCTCACTTTTTTGACATGTTGGAGCTAACATTCGTGAAACTGGTAAGAAAGAAGCTCAAAAAAATATAAATCACCAAACTCCCAAGTTAAAATGCCTGTTTTATAGTTTTGCCACTGGCAAGAAATAGCAGGTCAAAACTGTTGTAACTTCACTTTGAAGACAATGCACATGGGTGGAATATGATATTACATATTTCAGCATACAGAATTGCTGAGAACGGAACAAGACCCATCTATGGGGCTCTTGAAAACACCTCACTTTTTTTGACACGTTGGAGCTAACACTCATGAAACTGGAATACTGTTGTATTTCTGAATTTTCAAAGTAATATTTTTTGCTTGGGACACGTGATGTTCAAGATTCTGAGACTGAAATATCTTAGTATCAGTGTTTTTGCATCACATCCCACCTTAAAACAAACTGCAATGGGAAGGAGGGGCTTTTCCCCATTAAAATGAAAACTTTTCTGATCATTGTGGCCCTAGGCTCTCAGATCTAATCTATACGTAAATGCAGCCTCCAGTTGCCAAGACTTCAGTTATAAATGTGCTGCATAACAGGTGATGCAACCATTTCTAACACAATGGATATTGTTTCACGCAAATGTCAGAGAATCTCATTCAACATAAAAGAAAATGAATTTCACTTACTTACCTTTCAATCCCCTTCCTTTTGAATAAGCCATTTTTCTTTCTGGCTTGCTGGAATCTCCGGTACTGGCCTACTCTCCCATAAGCCACCTTAAAGGGCTCTCTTATATGAAGCTGAGGATATTCCATCGCGGTCAATACCACCTGTTAAAGCGGTTTTAAATTTCATTGACTTTTGTGCTCCCAAATTTCAGAATAGAAACACCTACGAAATGAGGCGCTTTTAACTTCTGGGCTGTGTGGCATAAAGTCCACAGGAAAATTTTGTAATCTCTTCCTTATTCCCTTCTAGGTGTTAGAGACATCATCTGTGGGAGTGACCATGTTTACCACTTCACAGAGGTCACCAATGATGTATTTGACTGAGCAGTGGGAAATTCCGTGGAACTTTGTGGAAATCGTATTGTAGATTATTGAACCAGGCAAAAGCAGAAATGGTGACCTGGTAGTCTAACCACTACTTTTTGGCCCATAAATAAAGCAATCACAGTAATTGATGTGACTGATTATAACATTCAGATGTCTGAATTCCAGAGGAAGGACTCTATAGGTATTCTAATGATCCAAACTTTGGTTTGCTCACTCAATGAAAGCCAAAGAATGGTCTCTGTTCTTCTTCTTCTTCTTTTTTAAAAAAAGATATATTTATGTATAGAGAACTAGGGTACAGGCCAGGGGTGCAGGAGCAGCGAAAACATTCACCAGAGATAAAGTGGGCAGAACAGGCAGATTGATGAAGTACATTGCTGAGGGGAGCAGGGGGGGAGAGAGGAGAGGGCTGTTGCGCCATGTGCATCCCTGGCCAGGGATCTAACTCCTGCTGAAGCAGTGGCTGGTAGTGCTGGGCTTCAACCCTTTGTGCCACCAGGGAAGGCCCTGTTCTTTCAGTTCTGAGGGACTCACCTGAAAAAGCCAATTCTTATTTGGTCATCTCACAGTGTACCCAGAAGCATATTTTACTATAGCTTGAAATTATGTAGTGGTTTCTCAAAGCACGTTTTGGGAAAATTGAGTACTTGGTCTACTCATCCCTTTCAACATTTTCCCATTACCTTTGTGGAAAAGAGCAAATTCTACCTGGGTTGGAACTTATTACCACAAGGTGGCAGCAGACACTAGGCTTTATTCCCATGACTGTCATTGCTACTTTCCAGTTTTCTCATTGCAAGGTAACTAAATATTAAAAAGGAAAACTCAAGAAAGTATTAGGAACTATATTATTCTTCTTTCTGTGCTTGCACCCATCCATAATGTGGAGCATAATCTGAAACTTTTGTGTGCAGATGTAGTATAGTAGATCTGGGGTGAGACTCAAGAATTTGCATTTCGAACAAACGCCCAATGCTGCTGCTATTGTTGATCACACTTGAGTAGCGATGATTTTGTAAACTCCACTACTGGAGATAAGAGGTTAAAAATGGTCAAGAATAAGAAATGTAACACTAAAGGGTTAAAAAGGTAGGCTTGAAAGTAATACCTGGATTCTTATTCCAGGTCAGCAGTTTGGTCTTAATCAATTCCCTGTCTGTAAGGAAGGGACTCTAGCTAATAGAGTCCACAGATGAAAGGAAGGCAGATGATCTTTTGAGAAACTCTGGAATATATTATTTTACACCTGATAAACTTTAGCAAAATTGGTATGGGTTCTGGCCCTCTCTGGTGGCGCAGCAGGTTAAAGCACAGCACTGAGAATCTAAAGCTGCTTCCCATGAGTTCAATTCCCGCCTGCCTCTGAGGTGACCACATGGTGTGGCAGACCTTTCCTGGCCCTCCCGCTGCTCCCCTCAGCAGTGGGCTTCGTCGATCTGCCTGTTCTGTTCCCCACTCTGTCTCTTGTGAAGTCAGCCTGTTCTGCACCCCACTCTGTCTCTGGTGAATCCTCTCATCTCTGCTACCAACACACCTCTGGCCTAGACCCCAGTTCTTATATGCATAAAAAAATAAATCTTGGAAAAAAAAAAAAAGATGAGGGAAAACTAACCAGGTAGAACCCATACCAATTTTTTTTTAAAGATTTATTTATTAGTGCATACTAATACTGTGGGAATACTAACAAGGATATAAAAAATAGTGAAACTTCACTAAGTTAAAAAAAGAAAAAAGGACTTCTTAAAGAGGTGAACTTTGAGGTAAGATATTTACTATTGAAAAGGAGACAAATGGTGGTGTGATCTTATAGAAGTATTCCAAATACAGAAAACTACCACAGCAGTCATTCTGAAGCTGGCAGGCACTAGGCTATGCTTGAGTGCAGGAAGCAGAACAATGTGGTAGAAAATCAGATCATGAGGAAAGGCAAGTTGTGTTTTGTGTTTTAAAAAGATTACTGTGTGCACCTTCAAAATGCATTGGAGGAGGAAAGCTATGACTGTTGAAAAGTCATTAGGTAGTCAGTTGATCAAGGTTGGAGATAATGGTGGTTGGGGTAGAGTGAGATGAAGGTGTCTACTCAGGAGATATTTAGAAGTATAAAATTGAACTGAAGTGGATATGGGAAGTAGTGGGGGGCTGAGCAGAGAGAGAGAAACTGGATTAAGAATTTAAATCGCTGCAGAACTTCAAGTGTGAAATTGTAGTGGTTTAACTAAGTAGGAGATAATGGAGCCTGAGAGAAATCATCAACTCAAGAGTCCATCATAAGTCTACTTTATATCAACTGTCCTTCATAGGTTTCAAGCTGTGTCCAGGGGATCATTTCCTGGGCATTTATAAATATCCCACTGAACAGTCAAAAAGGCTGGAGCAGGGCAAAGTCTGGCTAAAACACAATCCTCTTTGTTCTCAATCTTATTCTTCTGTTGAACACCTATGAAGTCATATAATCCTATTTCGCTAACCGTAACAACAGTTGACTCCTATTGAGATCACCATGGACTGAAACCAGTAAGTTACAGATTGCAAACTTGATAATCTGCTGGAGGGAAGCAGGCAAATATGAAAACCATGGGTGTGACAAAGAGAGGTGAGGCCTGTGGCAAAGTGTTGCATGCTTGATCAATCAAATGCTACTGACTTTCAAAATTTTAAGAAACCATGTGTATTTAAATTGTGGTACATTTAAAATATATGCCATATTTAACTTGTGGCACTCCCAGAGATCTTTTATGTAAAGGCTCCATTCAGGTAGTCCATGGTCCTAAAGATAAACCACTCCTGTCTCCACCCTTCAGGTTCTAACTAAAATGCATTAACTTGGATTCTATCAGCTTCTGGTCAATTATCAAATTGTTCCTGCATCTATTCTCTAATTGGTGGCATATAATGACACCTAGCAACTTGTAAGCCCTCTGCAAACTTGGTAAGCAGAGTCTGAGTATTACTCTAAGTCTGAGAGTGACTAACACAAAAACAAACTACCTCAGTGGCCTGTGGTCATTTTAAAACCGAAGTCTATTGAAAATGAACCCATCTAGTGAGGGGACCATTTTCCGAGGAGTCCCTGCTAATTCTGGCAACCCCAGATATTCCAGGATTTGAGAAGCCTTTGCATGTGGGCAAATAAAAACTGGAGACTTTTCCTCCTTGCTCAAGAAAAATCTCATCTTGGAGTGTTTGCCTAGCTGAGAGAAGGTATCATTTTGCAGGTCATTTATCAAGGATTGTGTCATGAGGAAGTTATACAGGCTGCCTGGAAACAGAATGTTTCTCTGGAAGACTCCTTACCCACAGAGTGTCACTCCCTAGATGTCGTCAAAGGCACCGGCTGGAATGAAGTGTCTCTGAAGAGGCAAAGAGGATCTCCAGTTAACGATGCCTTTTTGTCATTTGCTTTCTATGTTGGTTTTGGCTCCAGGTTGGTAGCTGACTTTGGACTGGTAACATAGAGTGTTGAAACAATTGTTTGGTTTTCTTCCACTCTTTTTTATTTTTTTAACCCTTTTTAAAGATTTATTTTATTTACTTATGTATACAAGAACAGAGGTTTAGGCCTGAGGTGCTGTGGTAGAGAGGGTGAGAGGATTCCCCAGAGACAGAGTGGGGAGCAGAACAGGCAGGTTGACTGAAGTACACTGCTGAGGGGAGCAGCGGGCTAGACAGGGGAGGTCTGCTGTGCCTTGCGGATCAGCTTCCTGGCCAGGATTGAACTCATGCTGCAGTGGCTTGGTAGTAGCTTCATAGTGCTGAGATTTAACCCCCTGCACAAACAGGAGGTCCTGCTTTCACTCTCTTTAGTCACTTCTTTGTGTGGATCTTAGAAATTGCAGAGTGCTCTGGTCTGTGCTGCACTGGAAAATCTATGTTTCAATCAAAATACATATGAAATGAGTTTAAATTGGTGTAAGTTTTCGAAGAGGCACTACCTTCTAGCATGTGAAATCTGCCTAGTCTCAACCAGCATTTCATCTCTGGGAACCTAGTTTATCAAAATACTCAGAGAATGTCATCAGGATATTTGAACAATTTATTTTTGGTAGTAACTAAAACTTGAGGCAATTCATGAATAGAGGATTAAATAAGTGGTCCCACAGAGATACTGTGAAAATTCACAATTATTAAGCAAAGGAGGTAGATCTGTGTGTTCTGATGTGCAGGTTAACAGGTAGGTAGTGTGCCTGGTGTACTGTGGAGTAGAGACTGCATGTCCTACAACTATGAATGCAAGAAGACACTTTAAAAAACCTATATTCACAGTTCAACAGGAATAGAACATGCTAAAAGAATACATGTAAGAACATATAAAAACATTTCAAAGTAGAAGTAGTGCTAGAGTAGTAGAGATAGGGATGAACAAGTAGGAGATTTAAAAAATTATTTTGTAAATTTATATTGTTTGATGAAAAAATGAGCATCCATTCCGCTATTCTAAAAAATCAAATCCAGGAGTGTAAAAATTAGTTGTCTAGATTTTGAATGCATGATACGAAGACATTGGTTTAAGGGATTGTCTTTCTTATTTTGCTTGGATCAACTTCATAAAACAACTCAGCTTGTGAATTTAGTCATTTGCTTTAGAGCCAGATGCTTCTAGAGTTGGGTAAAAGCCAAACTGGCATATTGCCAGCAAAAACTTGTACAAAATATGTTTAATATTCTAAGAATAAATGAAGGGTATCTTAAAACTGAAAAAACTCTCTGAGGTAATTTCTAATTTCCTAGTTAGACATGACTAGATTTGATAGTTGCAATAAAAATAAATGATAATATTGGCAAGAACAGCCAGAAAC